TCCTGAGCTGGTTTTGCTCTCTTGGAAGCAAGTTGGTGTGCTGTCCAACTTAGGATTTGAAATGAGTTGGTTTTGCTCGTTGCCCCGAGCTGAATTTTTGCTCATTGGGAAGGCAGTTAACGTAGTTCCTAACCCCAACCGAGCTGACTTTTGCTCGGGGATGTTGTGTTTCCCAAGATTGATAGATTATTTTGCATTTGCAAACATTTGAAAAAGTTATTCGAGCAGAAATTAGCTTGGCAAGATAAAGTGCATGTCTGCACGCTATGAGCAAATTTAATCTCGGCGATATGCAAATTTAACAAGATAGAGTTGAGTTGAGCAGTTTTATCTTGGCCATTATAAAAGATAGGACTACAATCATTTAGACAAAGCAGTAAAATTGAAGATGAGTGCATTGGGTGAGCAAAAAGTTGATGATTTTCATTCCTAATATAGATCAGTTACAAAAGTGGGGTTCAGAGCCCAGTTACATACACAAAAATGAAAACGCAATAGCCTATCTATGCCCTATTCCACATTTATAGCATCTTCCAAGTCGGCCACTTCCTCTTCAGCGACATTTTGTGTAGTCTCAGCATCGAAATCTAGCCCTTGGTCAGCATTTAGATTGGCCTAGTCACTGTTGGGAGACGTCTCTTCAGAAATGGCAGCTAGCACGGTGTTGTTCGTTGCCTCGGGAGCTAGCTCCCCTGCCACGCTAGTCGTTTGAGCTGCCTCAGTTAGCTTTTGCTGCATGGATGCGGCGTATGCCCGCATGCACAAAGGAATGAAGGTAGGTGGGAGATTGTTGAAGACACCAGACTCTGGCATCTAGCCAAGTTTCTCTGTGGTCGCTTTCCAGCCACACTGGAAGAAAATATCCTTCATGCCCTCCACCTACTGTTTGTAAACCTTTTCGCCTTCTGCGAAGCCATGGTCCTCTGCATCTTGAACATTTTTTTTTTAGCTTGGCTTTGTGAGCAACATAATGTTTTTGTAGCTCGATAAGATACCTTGCCTTCTTGGCTTGAATTGCCTTTTGCTTATCCTCCTTTGCCCTAGAAAGTTTTTCGGCCATCTGGTCTCGCTCGGCCATCAACGCCTCGTGCGTGGCTTCCAGTTTCTCCAGGTCGACCGTCTTGGTCTTATTGTCGACAACGGCCTCCCACTGTCACGACCCAAACCCGCCTCTATAGGTTTAGCATCGTAACTGGCCAATAATCCTTGGATTACCAAAGACCTCTGATTTGAATATCATAAAATGTAAGGGGCTGCAGAAGTAAATGTACAAAATACAATGTCCATAGAGCTGTGTAGACATATATGGGGATAGAAAATTTAAAACTTATATAATAGATATGTTGTCAAACTTCCATATGTCAAGCATCACCATATAGATAGCATCATAAGGGACTTAGCCCTATGTACATATATCCAAAAGCAAAAACAAATAAAGACCAAAATATCCTTAACATAAGCCACAACAACACTTGACGTCTTCCAACGGAAACATCCTCGGGAGGCACAAAAGGCTGGCTCACAAAATTCAACTCGAGGCCATCAACTTAAGGCTTGGTCATGTGCTTGATCACCTACATACATAATATAAATAGTGAGTGCAAGCCCAGTGAATAATAACAAAGTAAAGGGGTTAAATGAATGATGTCCTATATTATCAGATTTAGAAAACAGACTTCATAACAGAAACAGATTCATAATCATATTCTTATTCAAATCTTATACAGACATCAGAGTTCATGCTTAATCATACATGGTACATCCATTAGCGCTTACAGAACAAACACAGAGCACAAAGGGTCATGCTTGCTAGTTCTAATAAGGAACCTCCGGTACTAGGAACTTGTAACATACTTGGGCCACAGTATTGTTACCCCGGGCAAGGGCCATGAGACCACGATATTCTTACCCCCGAGCAAGGGCCATGAAACCACATTATTATTACTCCCAAGCAAGGGCCTTGTGCTCATAGACCGCAGTATTGTTACCCCCGGGCTAGGGCCTTGTGCTATGGATGCCACGAATACTTTTCAATATATGGACAATCATTCATTGATACAGAACATAGCATTTCAAAAAACAGATCATTTCTTGTCATATCAGATAGGAAAATACTTAAACGTGAACATAGCTTTATAAAGTTATTACTCATAGATAGTTGCACAGATAGCTTGATAGCAACCAATGGATCAATAGCTTACGGCGCGTGACGTACACAAACATAACAGATACACATACTGAAACACACGCTCGGATTGTATGTAGCTTACTTCATTTCATTCTTTGTGTTTTTCTAAGTCTTAGTCTAATTATTATGTCTTAATCTTGGCTTTGGAATGCCTTGGATGCAATGAGGTTGCTAAAATGCACTTGGAGACACTTAGTTAAATATGTTGAAAATAGGGGCCTCGCTCAAGTGCAACTTCCTTCGCTCGAGTGGACATCCAAACATGTGAGTGGTTACTCAAGCGCAACTTTTTTCACTCGAGTGGTCTATAAACTTTGCAAAAGTACTGGTTGTTTGATTTTTTCGCTCGACGGTCGCTTGAGTATGTGACTGAGGTCTTCGCTCGAACACAACTCTTGTCGCTCAAGCAGTTTGCAAAACATGGAATCTTATGGGAGCATCCAATTTATGCTCGAGCCAACTTTTGGTCACTCGAGCGGAGGTGCAAAACACAGAATGGCTGCTCAAATGCAGGATCTGTCGCTCGAGTGGGGGAGCAAAATTCTGGAATTTCCAGATTTGCTTCTAAGCTTCAAAACTTGAATTCAAACCAATAAATCATGTTCTTTTGGGCTAAAAGCTCAAGGAAACTTGTGTAAATTTGAAAAACATCATGAATTCAAAACCATTTCGCCAAATCAATGCCCAAAAGCTTGAGAATTGTGTAAAATCAAACTTGGTATGTCATAAACATAACATGTATGAAGTATCTTGGCTTCAAAGGCTTCAAAACTTGTTTAAATGAGATGTTAAGCACAAAAACATGAAGAACTCTTAAAACAAAGACAAGAGAGTACATGCATGTGAGAATTCTTTGAAATCAAACTCAAAATGTGGTGAAATGAACATGCATACATGATATGATCTAAATTCTCTTAATTCTAGCTCAATTCTCATATCAATCGATCTCTTTCACTTGAATTCTTACGTGAACTAACTCAATTATACAACTAGGAGTTTGATTTCTTACCTTAGATGCTTAACTGTGTTCTAGAGGTTCAATTGCTTGAGTTTCCAAGTCCAAACCTTCAATTCTCTACAATTTTTCCACTATCCCTTGAACTCAAACTCTCTCTAGGCTTCTGTCTCTCACTCTTACGTTTTTACTCTCAAGGAAATGAAATGAGAGTGTTAAAAATGTATTCTAGAGCCCAGTTGTGCCTTATATAGGCTCAATTAAGAAGGCTTAACTAAACTTGGCTTAAACTAAGCAAATGGGTATTATTTATTCTAATTAATTCACTCTGAATCGACTTTCAATTAAACCTACTATAATGTTCTATAAATTCCAACTAATTCATAATTCAAGTCAATTTCGTGATCGGATGCCGATGAGGCCTTCAGTTCACAGAACAGAATAGAAACACAAATAGATGTTCCTGCAACTGACATATATAAGCGCAAATAATGCAATGCATGTGTAATTGACTCAGGATTTCATCTTAATTACTTATTAGGCATACTTAATCATGGCTTAATCATGGTTTAATAGTTAATCATGGGTTGGGGTTGTTACAGTCTTCCCCCCTTAAAAGGTTTGGTCCTCCAAACTCGAATTACCTTCATTTTGGTAGAACATCAGGTCCGAAGGAAACAAATCATGGTATCTTTTCATCATATCTTCTTCCATCTCCCAAGTTGCATAGGTCCCTCCGTGGTTCTGCTAATCAACTTTTACCAATGGTATTTCTTTGTTCCTCAATCTCTTAATTCTGCGATTTACAATCTAAATTAGCCTATCTTCGTACGTATAGTCATCTTTCAGAAGTACGTGAGTCGGTTCAATCACATGGAGTGGATCTCGTAAATATTCCTGAAGCATCGAAACATGAAAAACATTATATATATGTTCCATAACCGGAGGTAAAGCTACATGATACGTCACTGGATTGATCTTCTCAAGGATTTCATAGGGCCCAACATATCTCGGTGCCAATTTGCCTTTCACTCCAAACCGCATTTGTCCTTTCATAGGAGTTACTTTGATGAACACATGGTCCCCAACTTCATATTCTCGATCTCTTCTTCGGACGTCCGCATAACTCTTTTGGCGGCTTTGTGCAGTTTTCAATCTTTGTTGAATCAATTTCACATTTTCAGTTGTTTTTTGCACAAGTTCTGGTCCCAACTAAGGTCTGCCACCTACCTCAGCCCAACAAATTCGGTAATGGCTTTTCCTACCATACAAAGCTTCATAGTGAGCCATACCGATACTTAAATGGTAGCTATTGTTATACACAAGCTCGACTAATGGAAAGTAGGTCTCCTAATTACCATGGAAATCTAAGGCACACATTCTGAGCATATCCTCTAAAGTTTGTATCATTCTTTCTGATTGACCTTTTGTTTGTGGATGATAAGCACTGCTTAGTCTCAGTTCAGTCCCCAAAGCCTATTGTAAACTCTGCCATAATCTCTAAGTAAACTTGGGACCTCTGTCAGATACAATACATATCGGCACAACATGTACTCTCACAATCTCATTAACATACACGTTGGCCAACTTATACGCATTATACAAAAAATTGATGGGCAAAAAGTGGACAGATTTAGTTAAACGATCAACGATGACCCAAATAAAATCCATACCTCGGGTAGAGCGAGGCAATCCCATAATGAAGTCTATGGTAATATGCTCCCATTTCCATTTCGGTATTAAAAGTGGTTGAAGTAGTCTAGCGGGTCGTTGATGTTCAGCTTTAACTTGTTAGCAATGCAAAGATCTGGCTACAAAATCAGCAATGCTTTTCTTCACGCCAGGTCACCAGGAATTCTATTTTAGATCCTTGTACATTTTTGTGTTACCCGGATGCATAGCAAATTTCGAACTGTGAGCTTCAGTCATGACAGGTTTCCTCAAGTCAGCACAATTCGGTACACAAAGTCTATTATGAAATCTCAACACAATATCATCATACACAAATCCCAGCCTCAGTTTTGAGTCAAGGTCATCAACAATCTTCTTCAAAAACTCATTGTCAAGCTGTTTCTCCTTAATTTATTCAATGATTGCAGGTCGAGCAAAAATGGCGGCTAAGATCCCACCCTGTTCATGCAATAAAATTTCAATCTCATTCTTTTCCAAGTCATACAACAACTCTTTCTGACAGGTGAGCAAACATGACAAATTCCTGATTGATTTTATGCTCAATGCATCTGCAACAGTATTGACTTTCCCCGAATGGTACATAGTTTGCAAATCATAATCCTTTATCAATTCCAGCCATCTTCTCTGTCTCATGTTCAGTTCTTTTTTGGGTAAAGAGATATTTCAAGCTTTTGTGATCAATGTACATCTCACAAGTCACTTTATACAGGTAATGACACCAGATTTTCAGAGCGAAAGCCACTGCTGCAAGTTCAAGGTCGTGGGTCAGATAGTTCTTTTCATGTGGTTGAAGTTGCCGAGAAGCATAAGCAATCACCTTCCCATTTTGCATTAGCACAAACCCCAAACCTTTGTACAAAGCGTCATTGTAAATTTGAAATCCATTTGTACCATTAGGTAAAGCCAAAATTGGTGTTGTTACCAACCTGGTCTTCAACTCTTGGAAGGAAAATTCTCTTTGATCATTCCAATCAAATAATACACTTTTCTGTGTTAAGTGTGTCAATGGCATGGGAAGTTTAGAGAAGTCTTTTACAAATCTGCGGTAGTACCAAGCAAGTCCTAGAAAGCTTCTGATTTCTGTCACATCGGTTGGTCTTGGCCAGTCTACAATGGGCTCAATTTTTTGTGGATCCACTAATATGCCGTTTTTGTTAATTACATGTCCCAGAAAGGCTACACTGTCAAGCCAAAACTCATATTTGGAAAGTTTTGCATACAACTTTTTCTCTCTCAGAATCTGTAAGGCAGTTCTCAGTTGGCTTTCTTGTTCTTCCCTGCTTTTAAAGTAAATCTATATATCATCAATAAATTCAATGACAAATTCATCAAGAAATTGTTTGAAAACCCGATTCATTAGGTCCATAAAATGCTGCAGGCACATTTGTTATCCCAAATGGCATTACCAAAAACTCATAGTGCCCTTATCTAGTTCTGAATGCAGTTTTCTCTATGTCTTCTGCCTTAACTTTTAACTGGTGATACCCAGATCGAAGGTCTATCTTAGAGAACATTTGTGCTCCTTGCAGTTGGTCAAATACGTCATCTATTCGAGGTAGTGCGTATTTATTCTTGACAGTCACTTTGTTCAACTCCCGATAGTCTATACACAACCTCAATGATCCATTTTTTTTTTGACAAACAAAACTGGAGCACCCCATGGCGAAGTTCTCGGGCGAATAAACTACTTGTCTAACAGTTCTTGAAGTTGAGTTTTCAATTCTTTCAGTTTAGAAGTCGACATTCTATATGGGATTTTGGAAATCAGTTGTGTTTCGGATACAACATCAATAGTAAACTCAATTTACCTATCATTTAAGTCTCCAGGAAAATCATTTGGAAATACATCAGTAAATTCATTTACTACGGAGATGTTCTCTACAGTAGGACTATCAAAGGTCATAGTCAGAACACAACACATATACCCTCTAAATCCCTTCTTAAGTAGTTTAACAGCTTTCATGGCAAAAATCAAGTATGGGGAAGGAACTATCCCATTCCTAATAAACACAACCTCAGGTAATCCAGGTGGACAAAATATAACAGACTTATTCACATAGTCAATAGTTGCACAGTACTTCATTAACCAGTCCATACCCAATATGCAGTCAAAATGATCAATTCCCAAAGGCAATAAATCAACATACAAAGTCACATTGCCGATCACAATATCAAATGTTGGATAAACATATGCACATATCATAGAATCCCCAGATGGCGTAGATACAGACAACAAATAATTCATAAGTTCCAGTGGTCTAGTTAATTTCTAGGAAAAAGTGTGCGATACAAAGGAATGCGTGGAATCAGAGTCTATCAACACGTACGCATTCTAAGAACAAATAGAAATTATACCTGACACCACTGATTTTGTATTCTGCACATCGCCAGGCACTAGTGTAAATACTCGGCCTTGCCTCGGAATTTCTCTCTCGGTATTGGCTCTTACATTTGTTCTTGGTGCAGCGGTGGATTCAGCTAAACTTGCCGTAGGATGGGTAGCATTGTCGAATCTCATCGGAAAATCTCTAATCATGTGGCCAGTCTTGCCATAGTGAAAACAAGCACCAAATGCACGGTGACACGCGTCTTTATGCTTCTTTCCACATTCTGAACAAACTAGCATAGACCCACTACTTTGGCTTGAACTGCTTGAGGATCCAATATTTTGCTTTTTGTTAGTAAAGAATGAACGACCCTTCCAAAAATTAGTTCCAGGTCTTTTACTCCTCCATTCTGTTGTTGGTGCTTTGGCTTGTTTCATTGTTGCTAGGGTGGCCTCTGCCATCAACGTTCTGTCCAGTACCTCCACATATGTAGGCATTTTTAGGACGCCTACTTGATCAAATATATCCAAGTCTAAGCCCCTTTCAAATTTCTGAGCCTTTTTGTAATCTGTATCGACCATGTGAGGAGAAAATTTGGCCAACTCGGTAAACTTAGCCTCATACTCGGCTATAGACATCTTGCCTTACTTAAGTTCTTGAAATTCTGACACCTTTCTGTCCCGGAAGTATTGAGGAAAGTACTTGTCATAGAAGATCTCGTTGAATTGAGTCCTTGTCATGTTCCCAGTATTAGTTCGAATTAATAACCACCATCTTCAAGCTTCATTTTTAGATTATAGGTGGCCAATAGAACTTTCTGAGTCTCGGAGTAGGGAAACACTTCAAATAATTTCTCCACTTCTAATAACCATGTCTCTGCCTTTAAGGGTTCAATACCACCCAAGAAAGTTGACGGTTTCATCTTCATGAACTTCTTAGTTAAATTTATAATATCATTGTGATCCAGCTCAACTTGGACTGGAGGAGGCGGAGGTTGTTGTCTTTGTTGCTGTATCATTGCCTCAGTTAGGGCTGTGAGCATTTGTTCCATTCGGCTCATCCGAGCCTCAGAAGATTCAGCTGTTTCATCACTTCTTGTATTTTTCATTGTTATAGGTAAACAGGACAATAATAAACACAAGCATAATAGTCTTGTTCTCAGTGTTCAATTCCAAATCAATTTGCCTGACATCAATTCATATGTGTTCACATCAATTCAGTTTAGTTCGTGTATGTTCTCATAGTTCACACACCCACACATGCAGATGGAATGGCCCTAATTGTTTTCTAGGACATCCAATAGCTCATATGGACTCGTGCGTGCGGTAGAACACGTGATCTGATATCACTCTGTCACGACCTAAAACCGGTCCTATAGGTTTAGAATCGTAACCGGCCAGTAATCCTGGGATTACTAAAGGCCTCTGATCTGAATATCATAAAATGTAAGGGGCTACGGAAGCAAATGTACAAAACACAATGTCTATAGAGCTATGTAGACATACATAGGGACAAAAATTTTAAAACTTATATAATATATATGTTGTCAAACTTCCATACGTCAAGCATCACCATATAGATAGCATCATAAGGGACTTAGCCCTATGTACATATATCCAAAAGGAAAAACAAATAAAGACCAAAACATCTTTAACATAAGCCACAACAAAACTTGACGTCTTCCAACGAGAACCTCCTTGGGAGGCACAAAAGGCTGGCTCACAAAACCCAACTCGAGGCTATCAACTCAGGGCCTGGTCACGTGCCTAATCACCTACATACATAATATAAATAGTGAGTAGAAGCTCAGTGAATAATAATAGAGTAAAGGGGTTAAATGAATGATGTCCCATATCAGATTTAGAAAACAAACTTTATAAAAGAAACAGATTCACAATCATATTTTTATTCAAATCTTATACAGACATCAGAGTTCATGCTTAATCATGCATGGTACATCCATTACCGTTTACAAATCAAATACAGAGCATAAAGGGCCATGCTTTCCAGTTCTAATAAGGAACCACCAGTACAGGGAACTTGTAACATACTTAGGCCAAGGTATTGTTAACCCCAGGCAAGGGCCATGAGACCACGATATTATTACCCCCGGGCAAGGGCCTTAAGCTCATAGACCACGGTATTGTTATCCCCCGGCTATGGCCTTGTGCTGTGGATGCCAGGAATACTTTTCAATATATGGACAATCATTCATTGATACAGAACATAGCATTTCAGAAAACGGATCATTTCTTGTCATATCAAATAGGAAAATACCTAAACGTGAACATAGCATTACAAAGTTATTACTCATAGATAGTTGCACAGATAGCTTGATAGCAACCAATGGATCAACAGCTTACGGTGCGTGACGTACACAAACAAAACAGATACACGTACTGAAACACACGCTCGGATTGTACTTAACTTACTTCATTTCATTCTTTGTGTTTTTCTAAGTCTTAGACTCATTATTATATCTTAATCTTAGCCTAGGAATGCCTTGGTGCAATGAGGATGCTAAAATGCACTTGGAGACACTTAGTCAAATTTTGTGAAAACAAGGGCCTCGCTTGAGTGCAACTTCCTTCGCTCAAGTGGATGTCTAAAGATGTGAGTGGTTGCTCGAGTGCAACTTCCTTCGCTCGAGTGGTCTGTAAACTTTGCAAAAGTATTGGTTGCTTGATTTTTCCACTCGACGATCGCTCGAGCGTGAGGTCTTGGCTCGAGCACAACTCTTGTCGCTCGAGCGGTCTAAAAAACATGGAAACTTCTGGGAGCATGCAATTTACGCTTGAGCCAACTTTTGGTCGCTTGAGCGGAGGTGCAAAACACAGAGTGGTCGCTCGATCGGAAACTCCTTCGCTCGAGCTGGTATTTCCAGATTTACTTCCAAGCTTCAAAACTTGAATTCAAACCAATAAATCATGTTCTTTTGGGCCAAAAGCTCAAGGAAACTTGTGTAAACTTGGAGAACAACTTGAATTCAAAACCATTTTGCCAAATCAAGGCTCAAAAGCTTGAGAATTGTTAAAATCAAACTTGGTATATCATAAACATAACATGTATGAAGTATCTTGGCTTTGAAGCTTTCAAAACTTGTTCAGATGAGATGTTAAGCACAAAAACATGTTGAACTCCTAAAACAAGGACAATGGGAGTACATGCATGTGAGAATTCTTTGAAATCAAACTCAAAATGTGGTGAAATGAACATGCATGCATGATATGATCTAATTCTCTTAATTCTAGCTCAATTCTCATATCAATCCATCTCTTTCACTTGAATTCTTGCATGAACTAACTCAATTACACAACTGGGAGTTGATTTCTTACCTTAGATGCTTAACTGTGTGCTAAAGGTTCAATTGCTTGAGTTTTCAAGTCCAAACCTTCAATTCTCTACAATTCTTCCACTATCCCTTGAACTCAAACTCTCTTTAGGCTTCTCTCTCTCACTCATACGTTTTTGCTCTCAAGGAAATGAAATGAGAGTGTTAAAAATGTATTCTAGAGCCCACTTATGCCTTATATAGGCTCAATTAAGAAGGCTTAATTAAACTTGGCTTAAACTATGCAAATGGGTACTATTTATTCTAATTAATTCACTCCGAATTGAATTTCAATTAAACCTACTATAATGTTCTAAAAATTCCAACTAACACATAATTCAAGTCAATTTCGTGATCAGATGCCGATGAGGCCTTCAATTTGCAGAACAAAACAGAAACACAAACAGATATTCCTACAGCAGTCATATATATGCACAAATAATGCAATGCATATGTAATTGACTCATGATTTCATCTTAATTACTTATTAGGCATAATTAATCATGTCTTAATCATGGTTTAACAGTTAATCATGTGTCAGGGTTGTTACAGCCGTAGATTCTGCTGCACAGAAATCATGCGTTCGTGGACGATGTAGTTTTTCTACGCGGCCTGCAGCAAATAATAAGTTGGTGCATTGAAACCGAGCAGTAACTTTGTAACAGACAGGTTCGGTTACTTACCAGAAAAATAGACTTCACAGCTGACCTGAGGATCTTCAGGTCGGAACGTTCTTCGTGTTTCTTCGTATCCGCTGGAAGGAGCAGACCCTTGTTCATGTTGAATCCAAGGGAGTAATCCTTGTCAGCATAGATAGAATCAGTTGCGGTCATTGCTCTGCCCTTATACTTTAGCTCGGGCGACCAGGCCAGAGGGGCAGTGGAGCGAGTGGACTGCTCGGCCAAGGGCTGTTCAGTCTGCTCCCCCTGATCGGCAGACAACAACTCGGCTATAGATTCATCGACCAAACACTACTTGGTCGAAGTTTTCCTAGGCCTCTTCTTTAACCGGTCAGCACCATGTTCGCTGGCTAGAGCCAGCACCGGGCCAGACTGTTGTGTGACTTGCTGGGAAGACTGGCCTTCTGCCGTTTCCATCGACTAAGAATCGCTCGGCTCGCCAGTGATCATGGATTTGATGGCACGAATTTTAGCAATTTCCTACTCGGTGATTAATGGGACAAGTTTGATTGGCGGAAGGGCTGGGTTCAGCTCTGGAGAGGGGGCCACGAAGAAAATCGATGACCCTGTTATTGCGCAGTGCAGTATACCGGTAGCTCAGTTGGTATCCGAGCAGCTTTTGGGGCTCTCGTTCCTCGGGCAGATACCGTAGAGCTACTTTGATGGCCTCCTGATTGGCTCAAGAATAATCCTCCGCCAAAACTATGTAATCTACACAAAAAATTCCAAGCGTTAGATTGGCAAAACGGATCAAATGAAAAATGTAAACCGTGCTAGGTTGCTCACCAACGCTTCTGAAATTTTTGCTTATGTACTAACCCGGTATGGGCGCCTCTGTGTCCTCATAATTGTCAGACACCTATAGAAAATCTTCGTTGTTTAATTCTTTGTCCGATTTATCTTCTATAAGTTTTGCTCGGCCTTTCCTAACCTTGAGGGACAAGCAAAAGCCTACCTTATTTTTGCTAAGTATATACTGGTGGAATATCTCAGCAAGGCCAAGGTTCAAACTGAGGATGTGGTTCATCGCGACCACGCCATTTATTATCTTGTATGTGTTTTGGAGACCTGGGTTGGGCACAACCTAGTCTACCTCAAAAGCTCGCAGACTAGGGGCTGGATCGGGAAGCGAAGGCTACCCTCGAATGTAGACACCATGGTGATGGGACATGTATCCAATTTGCCCCAGGGAGTGTCTCCTTTTTTGGCCAGCTCTAAGCGGACGTTGTCTGGAATGTTGAACTCCCTACAGAACTCGGCAATGGTGCCTAGTGAACTAACCATAAATCGGTATTTTCCCTTTTACCTCGGTCTTATTTTTTATGAAAAAATAGCTCGGCAATAGGCCCTGGTGATTATCTGCTCAATCTTTGAGCTTCACCGAATATGATGTTGATGTGTGCCTCGTCAGTCCTAGTTCATTCTGCATTATTAAAATTAAGTGCAATTGTTAGCATGACATCAATTGTGCGGCTCTCAAAATATGCCTAGCTCGGCAAAAGTTATGTTACGCTCTCAGTCTTAACTCGGTTTTGTTTAAGTTAGGTGGTGGAGCCTAAGATGTTAGGCTGGTTTTAGGCCTTCATCCTAACCACTTGGCACTTATCTCGGCTAGATGTCCCTACAAGCTTCTAGCACTGTCACAGTCACTTGGAGGGACCACAAACCAGTTTCAGCTTGACTCAATCCTATTTTTGGATCTAAAATTAGGATTTGCTTAGTTTCATCTAGGATTTGTGTTGTTTATCCTAAATATGAAGTTTATAAGATGGAACTGAGGGGAATGAGGGGCATGGTGGCCCCGCTTATGTTTTCTATTCCGATTTTACCTAATATCCATGAATATCTATCAGTTTTACCCCACGAGAGGGGCATCAACAGTGTATCAACAGTCCTGAATAAAAAATGAAGAACATGAAGAACAGTGGTGCAAAGATGAAAGAGACAAGGAAAACTTACATATTCGAGAGGCAAGTCGAGGTCCAAACAATCTAGACCTCTAGTGCGATGTCCTGGATGATTGAAAGCACTAGAAACGGTGCGAACGACGGCAATGATAGCGATGGCGATGGCGATGGCGATGGCGATGGCGATGGCGATGGCATGGGCTCTGAGGAAACTAGGGTTTTCACTTGAGAAGGCACTACAACAAATTTGGGATTTAAAGACGAAACAAATTTGTCCCAAAATGTATATATTTCATCACCTAAACTAATTACGACGAACATTTTTCATCACCCGTTTTGTCTCCAAAGGGTCGTCGCTAAAGGGTCTTAGAGACAAAAAAAAAAATTCGTCATTGAAAATGATAAATTTGTGACTAATTTTTTTGTCTCCAATACACTTTGTTGGGAACATACTTATAAGTAATTAGCGACAAAATATTTTGTCATTAAAGGAGAAATTAGAGACAAAAGTATTTTGTCAAAAATATAAGAAATGGAGACAAAATAATTTTGTCACGTTTAATATAAATGAAGACGAAAATTTTTTTTGTCAAAGAAGCTACCAATAGAGATAAAAACAAATTCATCATTAAAAATGATGAAATAATGTCAAAAAAAATTCGTCACACATTGAGGGTAATAGTGACAAAATGTGACAATATTTTTTATCATGACAAATTCATTTAGCGACGAAATAAAGAATTTATGACAAAATTAATCATCCACCGAAGCCAAATAAGAGACAAAAAAACCTTCTTTAGGGATGGAAAACTTTGTCAATAATTTCATAATATTTTTTTCCACATTATATACCTATTTTATCAAAATCTAAATTTTAGTTCAACAAATATGACCATGTTCATGTGGAAACCTGTTGAATATAAGAATTCCATCACAACTTAACCTAACCTGTTATCAACACATTTATGAATTAACAAAATGAAAATATCCATTCATCATTACAAATAATTTCATCCTGATATAATAAAATAGTGAAATATCCACAAAATATCCAAAAGTTATAACTTGTTCAATTCCACCAAAAATCCAACAATAACTAGTGTAACTCCAAAAAGTATGTGTATCCTTATCAAACAAAAATGAACATTCAAACAAATTACATCATTGTTGCACGTCAAAAATGCCACCCCAATCCAATCTGCAAAAAAATAAATTAAAAGTTTTAGTAATTAATCAATTATACAAAAGATTAAAAACATTAGTAACTCATCAATTTACAATTAGATCAATTATACAATTTATCCCTGTAACAGACGTTTTTTGAGATTATGAGAACAAAAAATTAATTTTAAGGCAAATTCACAAATGGTGCATCCCATTAACGTGCCGTAAGTTCATACAACTTATATTGGTCCCTCCTAAGGTGTTTCTATTGGTTGTTGTACAAATCTGTAATTGTGTGATAATTTATCATTTCGACAGCCTTTTTTCAAGCTTTAAGTATAGAGAAAAAAAATATATTTTTTAGACTAATTCACAATTTATACATCATGTGCACCTGTACAAATTAGATGTCATATGCATGTTTCCATTACTTCCTAATTCTTCAAACATGTATTCTTTTATAAAATTTGTTATACTAAAGTTAATATACTTTACCAAGAAGTATGTCCACTTGTGGATGAGTCCCCTCCACTTCCAAAGTGTCCAGTGAATCCTTTGGTCCTCAAAAAGTTGACAACATCAGCCATTATCTCCCCTTGCTTCTTCTTACCCTCTTCAAGATCTTCTATTTTATTGTTCTGCATTTGTATTTGTTCCTTTTGTGTCTCTATTTGCATCTCAAGGCGCTTCACATAATCATTTGTTTCAGCATATATGGTAGTGGCTCTCCTAATAGAGGATGAAGGTTTCATGCCAAGTCCCTTCACATAGCCAGACCTTGGCTTTAGGACTTTGATTAATAGCTCTTCTGCAGTCAAAGGGGTTGATCTCGGCTGTGAGAGGTGATCAGCCTGTGTCTGTATCATATTTTCCTATCCAATATAAAAAAAAATTAAATAATTATTAGAAAATTAAATAAGATTATAACAAATAGTATTCTAAAATTTTGTTAATAAAAATTGCAATATATACTCACATAATTACACTGAGCTTGAGATGAGATCCACTCATGTGTTTTTTCATTATAGTGAGTTTCCTTGTACAACTCTGCTAGATCAGGTAGCATCTTCTTTTCTCGTGCCTAATTCGATAGACCAAATATTCAATAAATAAAGCTAAGAATCTAATATAATTCTGAAAGTGCAAGGATATGTACCAATTTTTCTACTCTAACAGGGATTGACCTAGAACCACACCTATGTTTTGTATACATCCTTTCTCTATTCGCGATGTTGGCCTTTGATTGTTCCTATAAGGAAGATGACCAATATAACAATGAAATGTATCATTAGTAAGACAAATATGTTGGCTTTTGATTGTTCCTGTAAGGAATAATGAACCAATATAACAATGAAATGTATCACTAGTAAAACAAATTTAATGGTTGATAATAAAGAAAATGCATTGTTCCTCTCTATCATTTTCCTATATATCATTTCAACTTAAAAGATATTTCAAATTATTCACTAGTTTCATTCAATTCTGTGAAAAATAGATTAGAGGACTTGTTGAGATTTCATCATAAGATGGTTTTTCTCGGTGAAAAAAGAAAAACGAGTAATTTACACGGTTCACAAATAAGGGGCATATAAGCATGGGCAAGATAGATTGTGAAAAAATCCATTTACATTTCACAAGATATGGAACAATTACTGATACCAAACTCATAACCCTTTCTTTCTTCCGCAACTCTATCAAATCTAAAGTTCTGTCTCAATACCCTATATTAGTTACTTAGCTAGTTGCTTACCATTATCATGAAACTTCAGACCAAACCCAAGAACAAACAGAAAATTAATACAATCATAGAAACTGAAATCTTAGTTCTTTAGTCTATGATGTGAAAGATGCACTTTAAGGAACCATAAATTAATCTCCTATTATGCAAGCCTTCCAATCCATGTTTAATAGTTTCCCTTTCTCATTTTTCCACTTATTTGGTTTTTATTATGTTCCACTTACATGCCTAGAAGATAAAGGGAAAAGAAGACATGGAATTTCACAGCAAATTGATTGTGTTCTTTCTAGTTGTTTTAGAATCTCTCCCTATTCTAATCAAATTCTTTCTTCGCTAATATAATAAAAAAGATGAAAATGTTACCAGAAATTCTTTAGTGTTCCACTTTTTATCAATAAGATCTATCCACTTGGTAGGATCGACATTCTTTGGTGGGTGGTTTCTTGCATACTCCTCCCCTTTAGCCTCCTTCAGCTCCATGAATTGTTTGTGCAGCCTATAGGTATGGTTACTCAATCTCCGACCAAATTTTGTGTTCATTGCCTTCTCTATATCAACAGGGTCTCCTTGTAAATCAAATTGATCCTGCAAAAAATAGATAAGTCATAGATAATTCTTATAAAAAATAAAATAATTACAATAAATAATTAAGATTTCTAACCTATTATAAAAATGAGTAAAATCTCCTATAAGTAGACAACGAACTTACATTCAAGCGTTGAAACATCGCCTCCTTAACGGAGGCATCAACATACTTCCACCTACGAACACTTGGATCTGGTAAACGAGTTCGCACTTCTACACCAATCTTTGAGGCTAGTTTTGAGGCATAGTCCCCTACCGGTGCACGAAATTCTGGAGGGATAGGCACGCTAAGCTTTCCATCTTTATCAACAAGGCCTTGAACCTCTTTGCCTCGAGTCGGGCCACGAGCACGCTTAGCAGCTGATATTGTGAAGCCATAATATTGAAATAGTATGTGAACAAATTTAATTAAGATCTCAAATCAATGTAAATAAAGAGTGTGTCTTACCAATAGTATTACCAGCAGTCACCTCAAGTTGAGGCTCCACATTGAGAGGTGGTGGCGGATTGCTAGTCACCTCAGGACGTGAAGAGGTATCCCCCTCTTCTAATGCGTGGGTCAATGCCTCATGATGAGATTGTGAACGGGCTCTCGATGGTATCTCTAACAGCTGAATAACATAATAAAATATGAATATATGTACAAACATATACAGGTCTATGTGTGTATGAATTGAAAGTAACAAGAAAGAATATATTTCACAATGCATAAATGTATAGTACCTCATGCTCAAACGAATCATAGGTTTCAGTGTCACTGCCATCTTCAGCCTCTGACGGTCGATAATCATCATCATTTTCCTCAATTGGTATTTGTTTTTCCTTCCTCAATTTCTTATGTTGAACCGTAGCCTTCAAACAAGTTGTTATATTCTTCACTCCTAGAGCATTCATTCTCTCACGATTTTTATTAATATTCTTCATTCTTTGTTTCTCATAGTTTGCTACCTTCTTAGTTGCGGTACTTGGTTTGGTCAATTGCTTTTTTGTAGCGTCCATTTTGCCTAACTATAAAGCATAATTGAACATTTTTTTGGTGGATACGCATAATTGAACATTAGATTTAAAGAAAAGATAATTATATATTTCTATACATAAAGCATAAAGAAACAACAATCTCAACAAGTGGATATGTCATATAGGCTCTAAATCATTGAAATATGGCTAGAGTGATATGGATGATTTTTGTTTTTACCATTTACTTATCATAGAACAAATTAATTACAAAGCCATCAGACACACAATATGACCAATCAATGATAAACCTACATAACAGTGGATGAACCCCACAACTGAAATTCAACTACATTAATTAAGAACAATGTTCATATAGAAAGTGCAAAATAACTACAAATCCTAGTCTACATCAAGATCCATATCGTAATCCACATCAGGTTCGTCATACTCTTCATTTTGTTTGTCAGCTCTATTCTCTATCATTGTTTCATCAGATGACCTAACCCTTGTAACAACTTCTGCTTCAACACCATCTCTATAACATTGAACATTATGGCCGATGTCAATTGGAACAACATCGGTAATATTTTCTTGTTGGAACACATCGTTTTCTTCTGGTTCATGTAATGATTCTCCATCACCTACCTCTGGTACATTAAAGACACCCCTATGTTGCACTCATTGAACGACTTGCCAAGGTTGTCCCCATTTGGTATCATTTAGGTAAAAGACTTGCTTAGCCTGGCTAGGCAAGATGAAAGGGTCGTGTTGATACCACCGACTTGTGACATCAATACTTGTGCAATAATCATCAGTTCACAATGCTCTACTTCGACCTGTGTTTCCTGTGTTGTACCATTCACACTGGAACAATACAACTTTGTTATGACACATGTACTCCAATTCCCAAACATTGCACAAGTGACCATAAAATTCATGCGTCACTCCCTCATGATCCCCTTCCGTAAGCACACCACTATTCTGACTCTTACGGCGATTGTCTACTTCTCTTGTACGAAATCGTACGCCATTGATTTTGCAACCTGAGTACTCTTTTACTAGAAAATTTGGGCCATTTGCTAACGACCATAAATCATCGGTTGCTTCTAGTGACTTTTCTTCTCTCAATATATTTATCTACATTTACATATAACGTACATTAAGATAATAAAAATAAATTAATAAATGATCAAATCTTATACAAATTTTTAATCATGTCTTAAAATTGAAAATGCCTTACCCGCTCTTTGAACCACATGGGAAACTCTTGTTGTTGTATACGGGTTATGCCTTGGTCAGATGGAGTCCGTAATAGATTTTTGTGTATCCTACTCAAAAGAATGTGATTATTATGCACTGCTAACTGCATTAACAAAGCTAAGAATACACATATTTAAATGAAAAACATACTCTAGATACTTCTCTATCTCGGGGCTATTGTTCAACAAGAACCAATGAGCCATATCACGATATTCTTGTGACATATCAGCATCCCTTGTGATTAGGCCAATAGGACGGGCAGTTTCTGTGAATACAGTTAACCCTTTGCGACGTTTGCCACGATCTTGATTTCGTTCGGGTTGATTATGTACTGTTTCGATCCCATCAACATACATTGAACAAAAAGTAATGCACTCTTTGACAATGTAAGCCTCTGCGATTGAACCTTCTGGTCGAGCTCGGTTTGTAACAAACTTTTTTAAAGCTCTGAGAAACCTTGAAAAGAGAATTAGTTAAGAGCAAGGTTACACATGCAACATATAATTACGAACCTTTCAATTTAACAATTGCCTTTCAATCCGGTACATCCATTGATATTGCACCGGTCCTCCAAGAATAGTCTCACGCGGCAAGTGAACGGCCAGGTGAACCATCACATCAAAGAAGGCTGGAGGAAAGATCTTTTCAAGCTTGCATAATATGTGTACTATACGTTCCTCTAATTTCTCAAGTTCATTACGGCGCAGTGTCCTTGAGCACAAATCCTGGAAAAAGCTACCTAACTCAAATAGTGTTTTACTAATCTCTTTGTCTACGTAACCACGCATCCCAATTGGAAGAATCCGTTGTATGAGTACATGGCAGTCATGACTTTTCATGCCTGTTAATTTACCATTTCTCACATTCACTGATCTTGATATGTTTGCAGCATAGCCATCCGGATACTTCACTGATTTCAAGAATTCAAAGAAACCCTCTCTCTCTTCAGGGGTCAATGAAAGGATTGCCCTAGGTTTGACATAAGTTCCATCAGGACGACGTGTTAACCACAACTCTTTCCTTATACCCATATCTTCCAAGTCCATCTGTGCTTTGTCGGTGTCTTTGTTCTTTCCATCAATGCTTATCATAGTTCCAAAGGTATTTTCACTAAAATTCTTCTCGACGTGCATAACATCAATGTTGTGTCGAAGCTTCCATTTCTTCCAGTATGGTAACTCATACAAGATGCTTACCTTTGTCCAATTTGGTGCCTGATGGAGTCTTTTCTTATTTCTTAGATGCTTTCAATATGTGACACCTGTCACTCTGTCCAATTGCTCTAATATCTTTTCCACTGGTAACTTTAAAGATCTCGTTCGCTTCTCATGCTTACCATTGTAAGCCTTACTCTTTCGCCTTTCGGGGTGGTTTTGAGGCAAGTAGCATTGATGGTTAGTGTATGCAGTCTTACCCTTCAAGGATTGAAAATATGGTTCATCATTGCAAGTGTAGCAAGAATAATGACCCTTTGTTCTCCACCCAGATATGTCACCAAATGCGGGCCAATCGTGTATAGTCCACATCAAAGCTGCACGCATCTGGAAAGACTCACCAGTTACGGCATCGTAAGATAATGCACCATTTTCCCACAACTCATTCAACTCATCCACCAGAGGTCTCATGTAAACATCAATATCGATCCCTGGTTGTGATTCTCCAGGAATAAGTAGTGACATCATAAGAAAGGGATCTTTCATAACCAACCAAGGTGGCAAGTTATAAGGAATGAGTACTACAGGCCATAAACTATACGAGTTGCTCATGTTCCCGAAAGGATTGAACCCATCAACAGCCAACCCTAGCCTCACATTTCGAGGCTCCAGGGCAAACTGAGGATGTTGCACATCAAATTCCTTCCATTCATCACTATCGGCGGGATGTCTCAATACTCCGTCATCTATACGTTTCTCCTTGTGCCATCTCATGTCCTCAGCAGTCTTTCTTGACATGTACAATCTTTTCAACCTTGGTGTTAATGGGAAGTACCGCAACACCTTATGGGAAATCTTCTTACCCCTGCCACGATTGATCTTGTATCTGGATGCCTTACATTTTGGACATTTATCTAACCTTGCATTTTCCTTCCAAAAGAGTACACAATCATTTATACAAGCATCAATTAACTCATATGACAAGCCCAAATCACGAAGTATTTTCTTAGCTTCATAAAATGGCTTTGGAACCAAATTATCTTTTGGTAAAAGTTTTGTTAAAAACTCCAATAGTGTGTTAACCGACTTATTGCTCCAGTGGTTTGTTACCTTTATATTAAGCAGCTCGATGACAAACTTCAACAAAGTGTAGTTTATGCAACCTAAGTACACCTCACGTTTGGCATCATTCAATAGTTTATCAAACGTTTGTACTTCCTCATTCTGGGGTGCATCGTTGGGTTCTCCTCTTATTCAATCTTCCACTAAGGCATCAATACCACCTAAAACCTCATCTTCATCAATTGTCATTTCATGATGAGCCTCATTTGATACACGTGGTTCCCCGTGCTCATGCCAAATAGTGTACGTTTGCATAATCCCATATTGAAGCAAATGAATTTGCACATTTCGAAGATTTTGGGAATAATAGTTCACACAGTTCAAACATGGGCATAGAATTTTACCTTCCTGGTCAACAACTGCCATTGCAAATTTGATAAATGATGTCACCCCATCAATAAATGGCTGACTCATTCTTCCATCAGGTGTCTTACCCAATGCAATCCAACTCTTGTCCATGTCTGATCACAAATGAAAGATCAAGTTTTTTTTTGAATTTGTTTATGTCATAAAACGCATCATGTGTACTATTAACCTATTCCATTTAGGAATGGACAATGTGTATCATACAAAGAAAATCATATGACGTTGTCTATCTCTAATCTTTCCTTAGTTCTCCAAGTATATAACATAGATTGAGATGGAACATATTTAAGTAGTAAAGTTGCAAAGTACAATGTAGACTAATGCATTTTCAAATTGTTTGAATTTGGCCAAAATAGAACAGATTATGAACCAGACATCCTAACAGATTATGTACTAGACCACTGAGAGCAGCTACTGCTGTCCAAATACCTTGATCAAAGTATATCAAATTAGCTTTCACTTGACTCATGACTAGTTCTCTCTAAATCTACAAAATACCTTGATAAAAATTTGCCACAAATTCAGAGAGTTTCATTTCCCATTACTGATCAACTAGCATATCACCCGTGCTATGCACAAATTATGTTTCAATTATCTATATATGTGAACTAGTAGTAACCCGTGCTATGCACGGATTATGTTAACAAGATCAATGTCTTATCTTGAATATTTTTGGAAATATGTTTCTGTTATTATTTATTTATTTAATTTTTTTGGGTGGTGAAATAGCTATCATAAATTTTGGATTTGTTTTCATTTTTTATTTGAGATGATAAGTGGGTGAAGTTTAGGATATTTATGTTAGGCTTTTTCTACTATCTATGTATAGGGTTTGTTGCTGTAAATTGATGATGGATTTCAATGAATAATTTTTCTTGGGTTTAGCAATGATGGAATTCTTCTGTTGTTTTGAACTTGGATTTGTTCTATTTATTTGTTTAATTGGATTTGTGCTATAAAATTATTTTTAGCTTTCTGCTTTGGCAATATATATAGGTACCAAATGTTTGAAAAAATTCCTGAACCAGTATAACATCATGTTCTTATAAGATCAATCTAGGTTGTA